AGAAGCTTTCACTATTTGTGCAGCTGCAACTAATGCCAAAAAAGACTGGTCATGAGGGGCTCACCTGGAGAGCAGCCCCCTGTGATCACTGCACAAAGTGATCAAGCCCTTCTTCTGTGCCAGCTGTAGCTCCTCTTTTGGGCTGTTGCAGCTGACATGGAAGATTGCCAGTTTCACAGCCAGGGATCCATGAGTGCCTGCAGACTTCTGCTTGGCTGGCTTTGGAAAACTGGCCAAATGCTTGGCAGAATGGATTGCAGTAGGGTTCATCCCAACTCTGTGGAGGATACCAGGTCGCCCAAAGCTAATGTAAACTGAGGTTTTGATCTATTATATTGTACTTGGAGCATTCAATTGAGTACAAACGGGCTTAGGAGAAATTTGTTCCAAAGATTCTCAGTTATTTTGAGGCAAGTGTCATTTTTGCATGTATAAGGTGACACTTGTTTTGTATTCCTTTTGCTTATGTAATCCGCATTGTGTGAATCCATTTTCAAATTCAATATTTTCATAGCATTTCAGTTCTGGCAGTTCTATAGCAATCACTCCTAATACAGGAAAGGTATTGCAGTATATTTTTAGTGCATAGTCAGTTGAATTTTAGGCTATATGCACAGCCTTAAAAAATCTGCCTTGGCTATGTCATTTTAACAACAAGGTACGTAGATGTTTTGATCAATCAGGTAGCAAGTGCTTATTTGATGACGTCTGATAGTGGATTGGAATAGCACAGGATTTACTTCCACATCATTTTAGAGCAATTGCTGCATTCATCCAGCATCAGATTGTCCGTTTATAACCTGTTCACTGCATACTTAATGATCGCATACTATTAGTCATGGAACATCCCTTCACCAGGAACCCTAAATTCCAATAGGGTCCAAAGAAACTTTAAAATTGTGTCAGTGCTTTTGCCTATAGGAATTAAGTGTTGAATTTTAACTCTTATCCCATGATAAGGCTCCAAAAAACAAAACAAAACAAAACAAAACCCTTTAATGGAGAGCAGAGCCATTTGATCTAGTTTGCTGCAAATGGAACAAACATAACTCAACACAATTGTATGTTACACAGTTAGTTTATTGAATGTATGGCCAAAACAAATCTGGATTATTTAACATTTAACTGCTTTTACCCCAAGGTAATTTGGACTTTAATGACCATTTAATAGCTTAAATAACAAGGATGTTAGTAATTAGCAGGTTCACAAGAACTATATGCAATTTACCAGCCAAAATCATCAAAGTTCTAGTTGATTGCCCAAAGAAGGCTGAGATGGCAGTAGCTAAATTTAAGCAGTTTTAATTTTTGCTATTTCTTTCACTTGAAAACTGGTTCCAGAAAAGTACGTGCAAGACTGTATTATGTTTTCTGGGCTTGAAAGAAGTGGTTCTGGGAAAAATGCCAAAACCTGACACTATTTCCAAGGGCAAACAGCAACACTGAGCTCCAATCATTCCATCCTTCTACTGCATTCTTGTGGCTAGGTAGACCTAATGACATTTTCAGCAGGATTTCCCTCCACATTCAGCCTTTCTTTTAAGAACAAGAAGAAATACAAGAAGTTTTGAAAAAATGAATAGGTCTATGACTGCTTTGTAATGAATTGTATTGATCTCTATTATTTGAAAGCAGCCATTGTAAGGCAGATGTAAGCAGAAGGCAGATCACAGCCTACTAGTGGCTAACTTCTAATGGACCACATAATAGATTCTGGTTGCTAGCGATTCTTGCAAAGAATATTGGATTAACAGAAAAATCATATGGCCCCTGGATGGCATCTAGAAGGCCATAGGATTGTTCTTGATTTCTAGCTCTGAGATTGGAAAACAGCTCCAACCCTGCAGCTGGGGACCTGCACTTAGAATGCCCTCTCTTCCCTTCTGCAGCCAGCACAGCAAGAATTGCATTGGATGCATCTCCATGGTCAGAACAGCAACTCAAAAAGGAGCTTAGAGGGTGTTCCCAGGGGAGAGGTTCATACTGGTGCTGCTGCTACACCACATATCCTGGCAGCATCTCAGCCTCCTTCCCTCTTCTTCCAAAGTGCTACAGTTAGACAGCAGAAAATAGCCAGCTTGGTAAAATAGGAGGAGCAGAGAGGAAACTTTTGCCTCTGTGACCTTTCTGCCCTGCACAAGAGGCCTAATCCTCTGGGTTTGGAGAGGTTATGGGCAACCCTATTGGAATGGGCCCAAAATGACTTGGTCTATATGTCAGTCCATTTACGTTCATCAACAAAAGTGTAGATTCAGGATCCCTTCTAGATTAAGAGATTTTGAATATGTACCCTTGCTTTTAAATTGTGCATGCAGTGGTGAATCACAAGTATTCTTGTTTGTTTGTTTGTTTGTTTGTTCGTTTGTTTTAAAGCAGATTCATATCAGTCCAGCCATGCTTTAGAGACAAACCCTTCATTTACAGAATCATACACTGTGTAGCTGATGGAGTGATACTTCAGTAGGTTTTCAAAGACTTGCAATCATGCAATCTCATTTTAAATTTATACTCCTAAATATAAGTTTTCTTGCCACATATAACAATTGTGCTGGTTAAATACAGGAATTTCTTTCAGATTCTTGTTATATAGATGAACCATTGGTGACGTTTGATGTATGCTTTTTGCTTTGCTTTGCTTCACTTTGCTTAAATACTATGCCCGAATGATTGTAAAATTGAGCAATGGACAGCAACCAGCCAAAGTTGAATCTTTTTGGGTTTCATTAATTTCATTAGAGTTTTAAAAGTGCTTAACGTTGGCTAGACTGTGCTTGTTAGAGTCTCCCATATTTTTTCTTCTTTTTTAATGGCACTGGTTTCTTTTACTTTTCATATCTAACCAAATAAGAGAATTGGGAGCATAAAACAATGTGTTCTGTCTCATTTTATTATTAAGCCATTATCTGCTTTAGTACTTAGCTTTGTAAACCAGTTTAGTATAAGCTGTTATACAAGATGTTTCCAGGGCGAAAGCTTCAGGCTGATTCTTGGGGATTCTGTATATGAGGCATTACTTGTGCTTTCAGGAGTCCTCACTCAGAAGTTTGCGACTGCTTCACACAATATCATAATTCCCTAGGGCAGTGGTTGGGAACCTATGTCATGCATGCCACAGCGGGCACACAGAGCTCCTCTGTCAGCACACGAGCCAAGTCAACACAGCATCGCCCCAGCAGCCAAGCATCAAATAGAAGTGTGGAGAGGGGCCATGTGCATGCTTGGAAATGAGTGGTGGTGACAGGCAATGATGTCACGAATCACGACTCATTAGCCATGCTGTGGGTCGTCCGAGCTTTTCCATGTGTGGTCTGTGGTGGCCAAGGATAAATCTATAAATTTGTTTGGAGTGGCTGTGAGTTGTTTTTTTTCTAAACTAAAGCCTCAGAATTCAGGTTTGATTGCAGTGTTGGCAGTTGTGATGAATGAGTGGGTTTCGGGTTACAGTTTGGGCACTCGGACTCTAAAACGTTCTCCATCACTGAGTTAGGGTTAGGAAAACAAGGTTTCCAGCCATGATTTTGATGGGCAGAATGTGTTTAGAAATGGTGAGCTGTGCAGAAATAGCTACTCAGGGAAGGCTTTTTCAAAATCACCTCTTTTCAATGGAACTTTCAGCCGCTATTAGGGTGAGGGGTGTGCACCACGGAAGGGTTGGGGTTAGAAAAACGAGGTGTCCTGGCATGATTTTGATGGTTGGAATGTGTTTAGAATGGGCAGAAATGATGAGCTGTGCAGAAAAAGATATTCAGGGAAGGCTTTTTCAAAATCGCCCTCTTTTCAATGGAACTTTCACCCGCTATTAGGGTTAGGGGTTTGCACCAGGGTAGGATTAGGGTTCGAAAAATGAAGTGTCCTGGCATGATTTTGATGGTTGGAATGTGTTTAGAATGGGCAGAAATGTTGAGCTGTGCAGCAAAAGCTACTCAGGGAAGGCTTTTTCAAAATAGACCTCTTTTCAGTGGAACTGTTCCCCGCAATTAGGGCTATGGCTTTGCCCAGGGTAGGGTTAGGGTTGGAAAAACGAAGTGTCCTGGCATGATTTTGATCATTGTAACGTGTTTAGAATGGGAGGAAATGATGAGCAGTGCACAAACAGCTGCTCAGGGGAGGCTTTTTCATAATTGCCCTCTTTTTGTTGGAACTTTAATCCTCTGTTAGGGTTAGGGGTGTGAACCAGGATAGGGTTAGTCTTAAAAAAAGAAGTGTCCTGGCACGATTTTGATGGTTGGAATGTGTTTAGAATGGGAAGAAATGATGAGCTGTGCGGAAAAATCTATTTAGGGAAGGCCTTTTCAAAATAGCCCTCTTTTCAATGGAACTTTAACCCTCTGTTAGGGTTAGGGGTGTCCACCAGGGTAGGGTTAGGGTTAGAAAAACGAAGAGTCCTGGCATGATTTTGATGGTTGGAATTTTTTTAGAATGGGAAGAAATGATGAGCTGTGCAGAAAAAGCTACTCATGGAAGGCTTTTTCATAATTGCCCTCTTTTCATTGGAACTTTCACGCATATTAGGGTGAGGGGTGTTCAGCAAGGTAGGGTTAGGGTTAGAAAAACGAGGTGTCCTGGCGTGATTTTGATGTAATTCCAGTATACCGCTGCTCCATCTTGTGGCTTTGTAATGGAACATAGAGATAGGCACAGAAACAGAAATGCTACTGGTCAGGGAGTGTGGAAGGGATCTTAATCCCACAAAGAATCTGATAGTGGAAGCCATGGAAAGGTTGTGTGTTAAAACAGGTTAAAAGCCTAATGTAGAGAACCGGTATAATATTTTTACCTACTGTTATTCTCAAATGGGCTGAATGCTCAAATTGGGTAAATTTCACTATGTATTGGTACACTGAGAAATCGTGATCTGTATTACTGTTATTTAATGTTTTAAATATGCAGAACTTTGTGTGGAAGTTCTATATGCAGCTATATGCATAACAACTAAAGGGCTTTTTAAAAAAATGAAACATCAGAAATATTTATTTTTCCCTTCTTTCACTTTTTTATAGGCTTTCGAAAAATAAGTCTTGATGATCTCCGAAAGGCCTATATTGTGAAAGATGTTCAACAGTATATTCTTCATCGCTTAGATCAAGAAGAAGCACTGAGACAACATCTCACAAAAGAAACTGCAGAAATGTTGAATCAGCTTCATATTAAAAGCAGTGGATGTTTTCTGTATCTAGAACGTGTCTTAGATGGAGTAGTAGAAAACTTCATCATGTTACGAGAAATCCGGGATATCCCAGGAACGCTGAATGGCCTGTACCTTTGGCTTTGTCAACGACTTTTTGTGAGAAAACAGTTTGCAAAGGTCCAGCCTATTCTGAATGTAATCCTTGCTGCTTGCAGACCACTAACTACAGTTGAATTGTTCCATGCAGTGTGGACCAAAAATATGGCATTGTCTATGGAGGATTTCCAGCGCAAGCTAGATGTTCTCTCGAAAGTTCTTGTTGATGGGCTTGGAAACACAAAGATCCTTTTCCACTACAGCTTTGCTGAATGGCTGCTGGATGTAAAACACTGTACACAAAAATATTTATGTAATGCCGCAGAAGGACACAGAATGCTAGCCATGAGTTATACTTGCCGAGCCAAGGATTTAACACCATTAGAGGCTCAAGAATTTGCTTTGCATCTGATTGACTCAAATTTGCAACTGGAGACCTCTGAGTTAGCTTTGTGGATGATCTGGAATGGCACACCTGTCAAAGATTCTTTGTCAACATTGATCCCCAAAGAACAAGAAGTTTTACAGTTGCTAGTAAAAGCTGGTGCTCATGTCAACAGTGAGGATGATCGGACATCTTGCATTGTGCGACAGGCTTTAGAAAGGGAAGATTCCATTCGAACATTATTAGATAATGGTGCTTCAGTAAACCAGTGTGATTCAAATGGAAGGACATTGTTAGCAAATGCTGCATACAGTGGAAATCTTGATGTAGTCAACTTGCTTGTTTCTAGAGGAGCTGACTTAGAAGTTGAAGATGCTCATGGGCAGACAGCACTTACTTTAGCTGCTCGGCAGGGACACACCAAAGTTGTCAATTGTTTGATTGGATGTGGTGCTAACATAAATCATACTGACCATGATGGATGGACAGCGCTACGATCTGCAGCTTGGGGTGGGCATACTGAGGTGGTTTCTGCACTCCTTTATGCTGGAGTAAAAGTAGATTGTGCAGACGCTGACAGTCGAACAGCCTTGAGAGCAGCAGCTTGGGGAGGACATGAAGATATTGTGCTGAACCTGTTGCAGCATGGAGCTGAAGTCAACAAAGCAGATAATGAAGGTAGAACTGCTTTGATTGCAGCAGCATACATGGGGCATAAAGAGATTGTAGAGCATCTTCTAGACCACGGGGCAGAAGTAAACCATGAGGATGTGGATGGAAGGACTGCTCTCTCTGTTGCTGCTCTTTGTGTACCTGCTAGTAAGGGACATGCTTCAGTTGTGAGTCTTCTAATCGATCGAGGTGCTGAAGTGGATCATTGCGACAAAGATGGCATGACTCCACTGCTGGTGGCAGCCTATGAAGGGCATGTTGATGTGGTTGACTTGCTTCTGGAAGGTGGAGCAGATGTAGATCATACTGACAACAATGGTCGTACTCCACTTCTCGCTGCAGCTTCAATGGGTCACGCTTCTGTTGTAAATACTTTATTGTTCTGGGGGGCAGCTGTGGATAGTATTGACAGTGAAGGACGGACAGTCCTTAGCATAGCTTCTGCCCAAGGTAATGTTGAAGTAGTACGGACTCTGCTGGATAGAGGCTTAGATGAAAATCACAGAGATGATGCAGGATGGACACCTTTGCACATGGCAGCTTTTGAAGGGCATAGGTTAATATGTGAAGCACTTATAGAACAAGGTGCTCGAACAAATGAGATTGATAATGATGGGCGCATAGCCTTCATACTGGCTGCCCAGGAAGGTCACTATGACTGTGTGCAGACCTTACTGGAAAATAAATCAAACATTGATCACAGAGGCTATGATGGGAGAAATGCACTCCGTGTTGCTGCTTTAGAAGGCCATAGAGATATAGTTGAACTGCTCTTCAGCCATGGAGCCGATGTGAACTACAAAGATGCTGATGGCCGACCAACACTCTACATCTTGGCTTTAGAGAACCAGTTAACAATGGCTGAGTATTTTTTAGAAAACGGTGCAAATGTAGAAGCAAGCGATGCTGAAGGAAGAACGGCACTCCACGTTTCCTGCTGGCAGGGCCATGTGGAAATGGTACAGATGCTGATAACATACCATGCCGATGTGAATGCCGCAGACAATGAGAAGCGTTCAGCTTTGCAATCTGCTGCGTGGCAGGGCCATGTCAAAGTGGTTCAACTTTTGATTGAGCGTGGATCCCTGGTTGACCATACATGTAATCAAGGTGCTACTGCACTCTGTATTGCCGCACAAGAAGGTCACATTGATGTTGTGCAGATACTGCTGGAACATGGTGCTGATCCGAATCATGCAGATCAGTTTGGGCGCACAGCTATGCGTGTTGCTGCAAAAAACGGGCACACACAGATAATCAAATTACTGGAAAAATATGGTGCTTCTAGTCTAAATGGGTGCACTCCTTCTCCAGTCCATACAATGGAGCAGAAACCTTTGCAGTCAGTATCTTCAAAAATGCAGTCCTTAACCATAAAATCAAATAGTTCAGGGAGCACAGGTGGGGGAGATATGCAGCCTGCTTTGCGTGGCTTATCTAATGGGCCAGCTCATGCTTTTAGTTCTCCTTCTGAATCCCCTGATTCTACTGTTGATCGGCAGAAATCCTCTTTATCCAATAATTCATTGAAGAGCTCAAAAAACTCTTCTCTTCGCACAACTTCATCTACAGCAACAGCCCAGACAGTACCTATCGATAGTTTTCACAATATGTCGTTTACGGAACAAATACAGCAGCATTCATTGCCACGCAGTAGAAGTAGGCAGTCCATTGTTTCTCCTTCTTCCACAACTCATTCCTTAAGTCAAAATCATAGTTCACCAAATAGTGAATTTGAGTGGAGCCAAGTGAAACCCAGCTTAAAATCAACAAAAGCAAGCAAAGCAGGGAAAACGGAAAACTCCAGCAAATCTGGATCTGCTGGGAAAAAAGTAAAGCAGAGCTCTGCTCAGCCGAAAGTCCTAGAATATGAAATGACTCAGTTTGACAAAAGAATACCTGTTGCCAAATGTGGGGCTGGTGTGCCCTTTAAATCAATGACTGCTGACACTCAGTGTAAAATAGCCCCCCCAGCACAGCAGGACATTTGCCGATCTCAGCAACCGTTTCTGATCCACCAGCAAAGTGGGGAACAGAAAAAAAGAAATGGAATAATGACAAATCCAAACTACCATCTTCAGAGCAATCAGGTTTTTCTTGGTAGAGTTTCTGTCCCGCGAACAGTACAGGATCGAGGACATCAGGAGGTTTTGGAAGGCTATCCTTCTGCAGAGACAGAGCTAAGTCTTAAGCAAGCCTTAAAACTTCAAATTGAGGGAAATGACCCAAGTTTCAACTATAAGAAGGAGACACCATTGTAACAGGTGAGCCACTTTCAATGGTGCCCAGGCATTGTTGCAGCCAAGATGGAAAAGACTACATGTCCTTGCCAGTGGCTGTTGTGCAACAGGATTGGAGGCTGGGAGCAATTTAGATTAGCACCTTGCAGGAGCTTGGCTGTTCACCAGCCAGAGGCATTCTGTGTAGGTCTCATCTGACCACGCCTGCATGGATCTCGGTAGATTTCCCTCCAAAACCACTGCATAACACCCATTAGCAAATGTGTGGGTCCTCTGCCTCAGTCTCGGCTCCGGGGCATTGGCCAACTCTGGCTTGCCTTCCACTTTGGCGGCGTGTCTGCGGCTTGTTTGAGAATGATAAGCATGCTCTGTAGCTAACTCCGAAATGTGTGGTCTTGAAAAGACATTGTGAATTTGCTTTGATACCTTAAGCAGGGGTTTGGACTATAACAGGATTCCTCAGCTTGGTACTCGCCAGATGTTTTGGATGACAACAGAATTCCTGACTATTGGCCAATCTGGCAAGGACTGATAAAGTTCAAAACATGGAGGTCACCAATTTGGGAAGCCTTGACTAAATTACAGAATTGGAAGAAATCTTGGGGGTTATCTAGTCTCATGTTCAGTGGCCTACAAGTCCTTTGTCAAGTCCATGTTTCTATATTTGATCATGCAGTTGAAATGTTAACATGGTTGAGTTATAATTTTGCATAATTTAGAAATAAAATTATCAATATATATACGTATAAGCTGGAGTCTATGAACTATATTGGTATAACTGTATAAACTGCTAATTTATTTAGGTTGGAGTCCTGTGCAAATTTAACCTGGCATCAAACACTAGTGAATTCAGTGAGAATTATTTCTGTGTAAAATTGCATAGGATTGCAGACTTGTTGTAACAATTCTGTCTTAATGATTGGCAATGAAAACATTTGATTTTAGTCACCTGTAAGAAAACTCTGTTCAGGAGCTATGCAAGAAGCAATCTGTATTCACCAGGTCTGAAAGATCGTTATCATAAGAGAGAGAATTCAATAATTTTGTACAGGTTAGGATTATGTGATGTTTTATGCATAGGTTTTTCTCTTAAACCCATGTATAAATTAAGTTTTCATGAAAGTATTTTTTCTTTGCATTTTACCCATTTGTGCAGTGTTTTCTACAGAATTAATTTGTTGTTTATGAAACTGCAAAATTTTGTACCCCATCAGAATATTTACTAGTTACATTTAATAAATCAATGAGGCCTTAAAGGTGAATGAAATCTGTACAGTCACAAATCACACAAGCTTCCCTATGGTAAAAGAGTCACTTTCAGAGTATTTACAAGACTACTGTGGGCAAAATTAGATGTTGTTCAAAATCATACAATTGATGCCAAAGCAAGAGCCCCATCTTTCTACCACCACTATACCATTGGGTTCTCTACAGTGCAACAATATCTTTTCATTGTGTGTTTCTCTGTTCCCTCCAGCGTATGTCAGTAAGGCCTGGTTTGCACAGACAACCCATGGTTAGCAAACTGTGGGGTTGTTTGTGACCATAAGTGAATGTGATGGCTCTCACTTCTACTTTGCAGAACAACCCAGGTATGCAGAGTTTTAACCTATGGTTAACTGTTGAGCTAAAACTCTGGATCATTTGCACTCAAGCAACCCACAGTGCCGGGTTCACACATCACAACAACCCAGGAACATTGTTATTTAACACAGGAATTGGTATTACGTGCAAACCAGGTCTACGTGGAGTTGGAAATGTCTAGCATAATACTGAGACAAGGCAAAGGCAATACCACACATAGTGAAGGTCAGGTGGAAATCTTGACATAGGAGTCCCTTCTTTGACAACAGTCTTCATATTAGAGAATGTTTTTTCATCCTGGTATATATTTCAAGCTCACTCCCTGAGAATAGCATCCCACCTTCAAACTGCAAGCTAAGTTACAAGTTTGTCAGTTAGTTATGCATCAACCAGATTATAATAACAGCTTATTCATAAATTGGGTATGTTCTAGTTGGAATGTAACATCTTAATTTTCTCTTTTCTTAAAGGCAGATCCATGACACCATGAATAAAAAGAACAGCTTCTGCCTAGAATGGTTTGTCAGCCGAGCTGGGATAAAAAAGCATGTCTTGCTTGTTGAACCACATCGAAAATTACGAATGTGATTGCTGCAGTACAGTTACCTTCATTACTGTAATGTGCCTAACAGTTTTAAGGCTGCCTTCTTAATGTAACCTTCTGTGCTTCAGAAATTTTATTTTGTGTACTTTGTACTTAATACACAGAATAAGCACTTTCTTTTTTCCTTAGTAGCAAAACAAGATAAATGCTGTATTTTCCTCACACAGCTGAAAAACTGTAAGAGCTAGAAATTTGAGTTTCCTTTTCAAGAAGGCGTGATTGGTGTAAATGTGCCATGGTGGATTTTGTATTGAAAGGCAATGCCTTCTGTATTTATTTTATTTTATTTTAATGTGGTCAAAAGAAACTGCATACAACCAAAAATACAAGGAGTAGCCTGAGCCACCTGCTAGACTAAAGCCACCCCTCCTACCTTCGCCCAATCATTTGTGAATTTCCTGCATAGATCCTTTTAATCCAAATTAAATGTTTCTTTTTTTCTCCCTTCTGCTTGCGGCAGCTGCACTTGCAGTAAAAATTTAGTTAGTAAACCTTTAAGGTGCCATCGGACTCTTTCTGTTGCAGGTTCACATGATCAAATCTACCCAGAAGGTCCTGACTATGTCCCCAAAGGATATACGTGCTATTTGCATGTAGCATAGAATATACAAATCAGAGCATCCATTGATGTACCCACAGCAACAACCGATAATACCATTTGTGGTGCTTCAACAATCGGTAGTGATACCTATGGGAGAGGTGGCTCACAGATTGCCTTCTCCATGCAATCACAGGCACAATACACAGAAGGGTCGTTCCAAACACGTAATATCGAACTGTTTTTGAACATGTAAACTGGTACCTACTTTATGTGCATCTTAAATCACATTTGCATTGCCATATTTCTGTGTAGTTAAAATGTTTCTCATAAAAAGACGATTCTTGTGATAGTATTGGCTAAGATGCAGTACTTGTGTTTGGCCCTGGTTAGTGGTGGATAGAAGGCTATGGTATCGTTCATCAATCGTTTGCTCCCATTACTCAGTTTCAAGGGTGTTTGTGAAAGTGCAGTTCTTAGGTTTCAAGACCAGTTCTTGTGGTACCCACTTCCACTTTGTTTTCTAGAGGTCAGTAGAGGTAGCCAGTACAGCCAGTGGTCCTAGAACCCCCTAACAGTATTCCCTAGATAATCCTTTATTTTACTTCAGCTTTTATTTGTGAAAGAGCCGTATCTTTGCTCAGTTCCTTGTATCTTCAGTTAAAAGGATTTTGCTTAAAAAGTGAGCTAGATGTCCCCAAGACCAGACTTCATATAAGGCAGCTTCATATGCTCAAAAGTGAATAATTGGAAGTCTTTGGCAAGAAGCAATTCTTGGCTTTGCCCCTAGGAGCCTGCCTATATGCTTAGAGTAGGAATAACAGCTCATTCATTCTGGTAGCAGCTGCTCTTTGTCTTGTTCACAGCATGCCCAAGACACTGATACATAATCTCTCTTTTCAGATGATTAATTTACCACCTGTTAATGTTATCTTTGGATTAGATGTAAATTGTAAACTCTAAACTACTCACGGTCTTGATAATTAATCAACTGTCATAGTCCAAGGTGCAGTTCCAACTAAAAATAATTTGGTAAAAGCTGTATGTTAAAAAACTTTAGAGTCACTACCTTTTGAAATGAATGTGCTTGCAGTGCAGTCATCGTCTATTAAACACTGCCCCAAGATTCCTCACTGCAGGGCTTATTCATCCATATCAAGCATTGTCTCCGGCACTTTGCATCTCCTGTGACTCAGAAACCGAAACCAGGATGGGCTATGCTGATCAGAACAGACCTGGTGTGTAGGTGACATTAGGAGAGCGTGCACAGGTATCCCTCTGCTTCTCGCCCCCCGCACCGCAGTAAAGAATGGCAGCTATTATATGGAAGAACATACAGTTCTGCACTTGGGGCCGCAACCACAATGTCAAAGCACATTCCATATGCCTGACAGTAGGTGAAATGTGATTTTGCACAGAGATACAAAAGGTGCTTGCAGACAAAGCTTTTATCACACCATCACTCTGCCTCATTCATGGAATTTTACTGGGGGACAGGCAGGGGGCACAGTTAAATTACATATTCCACTTGTAATATCCCATGTTTGCCCACTGCTACTGCTTCCTTCTCTCTTTTTGCAGAAAATCCATTATGGAAAAAAAGATGCAATAGCTACACAATGCTTTCTGTCCATTTGATATTGCCAGACATCCTTTGTGGAAGGACACAAAGGCATCCCGTACCACAAAAGGGATGTCTATAATATCATATATCTCCCTCTGCTCACAGCCTACCCATCACACTCATTAGTACTTTGGTAGTGACTAATCTTGCTGATTAGCTGAATAATATTTTTGGAAAATAATTACTCAGAGTGCATCCAATGGAAGGCTTCTGCTGCTACTGATCAAAGGCATTGTGTAGCTGTTTATCTCTCTTGCCCCACCTCCTGTTGCTTTGTTTAAAGAAAGAAAACGGGGGAAGTGAGAAACACAGGGGTTCTCAACTGATGATAAAGATTCCTGTAAAATTCTGTGAATGAGGAACAGCAATTGCACAATTAAAATCATATTCAGCAGCACCCTTACGCAAAGAATGGTGAGTGGCGTAGTAAGGGTGCCAAAATGTTGCCTCCGGTTTGTTCTGAATGTGAAGTACTGAGTGTTTGCCATACTGCACAAGAATAAAGCTCGTCTTCCTTCTTAGGTATGCACATATATTTTGAACTGTAGAAAGACCATCCCTAAAGGTTACCTTCTCTGGATCTTGGCTAATGCTGAGATTGTATTTATTTGATAGTATTATTTTATTACAGCATGTACCTTGTGACTCAATTACAACAGTTCTGGCCATTTTGACAAGAAGACTAAGCATTTCAGAAGTCTTCTTGACTTTCAGCAGAACAGTCTTAAGCTATTGAGGCTAACATTCCCAAGAAATCAACTAAAAGGTCAGTGAAAAAGTGTTTCCTTACAGAGAATTGACATAAATTTTCCTAATCCCTTTCAGAGATGCTTTGGAATACGGCATGTTTCTCTGTTTAAAAATGCAGTTTGACAAGAGTGTGAGATTTTTCTGAATTACTTAAATATATGATTTTAATATATTGGCTTTTGTGACCTCTCAGAGAAAGGTAAAATTAATTGCCCTGAATACTGGCAAGTGTGTGTGTGTGTATTTTAATTCTGAATTGTTGGGTGTGCTTCAGTCTGATCAGCCATGACTTGGCAGGGCTGATCAGCTCTAATTTAGCATAATGTGAGCCCCTCTTTTTTATTCAAAATATCTAAATATTTCTAGACCTGCTTTATCTTTCTATTTTCCAAAGTCGTCACTGGAGGAAATTATGGAATATGCCACAATTCATAACTAGGAGACTTGTGGAAGGACTGGTAGACATTAATAGCTGTACCACACACATGCCAAGAAAGCTGTCATAATAGAGATTAAATTAATCTATTGAAATTTAACCTGCTAAGATATAGCAGTGCCCTCTAGCCCTTATCATGATCAGTATTGGAAAATGGCTTTGCTTTTACTTAAGGCATCATTTTCTCTTGTCAACTGTGCTGCTATGCAAATGTCTGTTTATGCTCTTTATCCTCTGTTGAAACTCTTCGAATAACATGGTGCACAGATAAGACTTCTTTTCCTGGACTGGGTTGTAAATAGCCTATAATGTACATTGAATTTCACATTGTAAAATTTTTATTTTATTTCTTGTATTATATTAAGCAAAAATCCTTATGTATATGAAAGTGCATAATAAATATATTTGCTTTTCAGCAGACATTGCTTTCAGTTTCTTTGCTCCTTACTTATTGGGAAAAACAGGCCTAAATATATTTAGAGAATTGGAATTAAATGCTAAGAATACATGAATTCCATTTTGCCACATTTCTTTTTATCTCCTTATCCCTTATTTTTCCTAGTCTATCACTTTTTTCCAGTGCCTCTGAACTTTTGCCTCACACTACAAAAAGGGGTCAATGAACTTGAGATCTCATCTCTGCAGAGGCCATGCAGTGGTGGAAGCTGAGTAAGCACAAACTGTATTGATCCCCTGAGAAAATAAGCAGAAAAATGATGTTCTAAAGTCCATGCTTTTAAAGTTAAAAATAATACAGTTAGTGAAAAGTTGGGCCAATAGCAGGCATGAGACATTTGTCCATAAGTAACAGCGAATGGCCAAAACTCAAGTTAGACTTGTTTAAGCCCAGAGTATTTGATGGACTTGACTACATAGCACTCTGCAAGACTGTAGCCACAGATACGTGTTCAGAAACTAGGAAACAGGATGCTGATCATTGGCAGGAACAGGTAGTGACCTAAAGTCTAAATATGCATCTTAAGTCAACATGACTTGTGGTTGCACAGGCTAGTTGGCAGAATACGTTATGTGAAGATTAAAGCGCCCCATGAACAGCAGTAAGGGAAGTTTAGCATGGATCCAGACTCTAATCCTTTTCTTTGATGTTGGAGAGAGTCCCAGTTCTGGAAATAGAATACATGTTAGAAAATCCTACTGCTGTATGTTTTTATCATCTTTTGATAAGGTTGATAGAAAATTTGTGTAGCTGATTCCTGTACCCAGCTATTGCATGTTTATATATAATCTATTTTATCCATCAGAGGTAATATGGACTTGTGACATAAATGTGATATATCTCATGGTATCAGAGATACCTTCAGGACTTCCACTGATTTGTTTTGCTTCCATGTAAGGTTGAGCATGTTTCAGCTTCTCAGCATCACAGCTGCCAGAACGGGTTTATTTGTTTGAATTATTTTTAGGTGACCTTTTAGGTCATACCATCCCAATCTGTTATAAAACAACACAGAACAATTAAAACCAAAATGAGGTGAAACTAGATGGCACCATATCCACAAGGACAGGATCGTAATAGGCATGATAAACAGGCATCTTTACTGGCTGCTTTAGAGGCATATCATTCTAAAACAATGGGACCTGGCGGAAAACAGTTGAACATTCTGCAAGTGGAGGTTCTATCCCTTCTATCCACCATTGCAAGTAGATAAGCAGGGCTTGCTTCCAGTGCTGAACATGGAATGCAGGTGTGTTGGTATGTGCAAAGGTGAACATTCAAGTAACCTGGACCCAAAACATTAGGGCTCTAAGGACCATTACAATCACTTTAAATTAGGGCTGGAACTCTTGGGTAACGAGTGTAGGTGTCACATGCTAGCCAATACCAATGCTCTCATTTTGTGCAAATCCGTGATTCAGTCGCCTCCCTTTAAAGGCAGCCCTAGTAACTCAGCCCAAGTGTCATTTCAGCATGAATAACTGCTCCAAGGCCTGCCCTTTCCCAGTAGGGTCAGAGCTGGAATATCTATCTGAGGACCTGGCTACTGCTGAGCTTATTCAAGTCTCTGCCTGTTTTCACACACAATGCTAAAGAATTTGCACAGTGACGATCCAGCACAGTGCCTTGTGCCTTGTGTTCACATTTCCCCAGTTTCCACGCAGGTATGGTTTGCAGGCTTCGCCATCTTCCCTCCAAAGGGCAGCATGTATCCCATCAGCCCTTGTGGCTGAAATTCAATACTGGTCTGTACCATTTATACCTATTTTGCCATCCTTGGTTCTTTTGTTCTTTTGTGTTTTGGCTGCTCAGCAGAGCAACTGCCTACCCACTGAAGTAGTGTTCCAGAGCGGCACTGCAGGAGGAATGTCCACTGTTGCCACATGCCGTGTCCATCCCCAAGCACACACACACCCCTCATGCCCCCCCCCACACAGGATGCACACGTTCTGCCAAGGATGCGCACATACACAGCCAGATATGGCACCTGTGCCAGGGATGAAGGGAGTGTGTCCTGCCAGGCAGGCATTACTGATGGTGCCCACCTGGCATCTGCCTAGGAAAGTTTGCCAGCCAGCTATCAGTACAGTGGGGCAGGGGGAGAAGCAGGGCTTGTGGCAAGTCCCAAGAATTATTGGGGACGAGATGGGAGCAGGGCAGGAGGCAGAATGGGGCGCGTGGGCTGCATGGATGCCTGCTTTGTTGGCAAAGTCCCACGCCTTACTCCTTGCACCTCGCAAGGCTGCTGGCTCCCGGAGTGGCACAGGCTTGGTGCCAGTCCAAAGCACTGCTCCAGCACAGGGCAGTAACCAAGCCGGAGCACCATGCATGGCTGTCACCACAGTCACTGCAGCTGGAGGTGGCGTGGCACAATGCCCTGCTGCATCAGGGAGCATGTAGCAGCAGGGAAGGCAGGGAGCACAGAGGCAGCCAATCAGAGCGCAGCTGCCAGCAACTCAGCAATCAGGCCAGTGGAAACAGGAGGCCGGAGCATCTGCTGCAGCCATGGCTGCTCCTGCCGCCAAACTTGCTGGCAAAAATACGGAAACCATGTGAAACTAGTATAACTGGAGTCACATGCAACAACAGGCAATGATGAAGTATGGAAACCTTAAAACAGATTGTGGGATTTCATAGAAACAAAAAAGACCACACTTCACTACTGATTTGGAATTTACCCATCGTGCCAAGCCCCGCCTGTGCAATTTCTGGCACGGGTTGTCAATAAGTGTGAATACAACCTGTGAGAAATGCAGCCTTGGTCCCTCTGGAATAGTGCACCCTTCCTAGGACCTGCTGAAGTATCTGGAATACTCGTCTTAGGTGGATCGGGTTGGTCATCTTCATGCATCTACCCTTCATAAAGCATGGCTGAGTCCTGTATTACAGCTTTTAAAGTACTATTTTAAAAGATAATCAGGAAATATTCACAAAGGTTTTCCATAAATATTCCTTGGCTTCACTTCCAGTGATTTCTTGCCACAGCAGTCAAAAGAATAAAGGTCTTCTAACCCAGGCTGTTGCCCTGGAATTGGATCACTGAGTCATCTTCCTGCACTATCACTGCCAAAATTGAATTGATACAACCCAGACACAGCAGTGGAAAATCTGTGTTGTGCTTGTGAATGAATAGATAGAATCATATTAGTTGAGGATCTGTCTTATGTCCCATCCTATGGAAATACATTGTTGCCTAGGTACTTAACATTATATAGGTGTTAACAAAGATTCCAGGATCTATCAGTATCTAAATGGAATGTTATGGTTAGAATTGCTTATTATGAATAGCTCAATATTTATTTCACTACTTATGACAAATTCATTGGAAAATTGCCTCTTAACTGACTTAATGTACATCAAATTTGGATGTCCATAATCATCCAAACTCTGCTGATTATGAACTTTCCTGAGGAGGATGTGGAGTGAAGAATTCCTCCTACCTGCACTTTAGCTACACAGCCAATTTTGGCCATCTTCAGAGGAGACTGAAGCAGTACCAGGTAACTTCATCTATTGGTGGCACTTGTCTCCTCTCCCTGCACACCTCCGAATGCTCTCTTGCTCCCTTCTGCAAGTGTGAGAGCAAGAGTGATGGCGGGCTTCGACAGAGGTTCCCACAGGACACTAGTTGGGTCACTTTTGATGATTCGGGTTCAGAAGATGAATATTTCAGTGCGGTTGAGGAGCAGGCGTTTGCTCAAGGACCTTAGATATAACAGTGGGAGGGGGAGGAGGTGATTAGCTCAAGGGCAGATGTGGTGGCAGGCCAGCCAGACCCTGGGAATAGTATGGACATACAGCTAGTGGAAAGGCTGCTGAGGCTGAGGAATTCCCAGACTGAGATCAGCCACTCCCCTCAGAGCCAGACCCCATGGCCAGGTGCCAGCAGAGGTGAGAGGCCCAATTAGATGGAAACATGTGGAAAAGAGGCATGCTCACTACCAGAGAGCCCCTCCTATAGGGCTGGATGCTTGGAAAATGGACTGGCAGGCAGTGCTGATGATGAACTCTGAGATAATATGATCTTACTGGTCAGTCCCCAGTCTAGCACCCTGCCCTAGTATGAACCAGCTGGAAAGGCACTTCCCACATACATTGCATTGCAATAATCCAAATGAAAGTCTAACAGAGTGTGGATAGCTGTAGCTAGACTATGTCCAGATAAGGACATTGTTAGTATATAAGCCTAAGCTGATAAAACCTTGGTGCCCCATTCCATCAAGTCCACTTGTGCCTCTGCTGCTTCTAAGCACACCCTCAAAGTGCTGAATTTAGGGGTAATAAAATCTCCAGAACAGCTTGAGTGTCCGCTTATGTAGGCAGAAGAACTACACACTACAGTACTTCTATCTTCCTTGGTTTGAGTCTCAGTTTGTTGGCCCCTGTGAAACATTATAGGGGAACATCATTTATGTTTGCTCAAAAATAAGTTCCAATATATGCATACAAATGTACTCTAAGGCAGAAGTACAACTGTCTTGAGTTAATATGTGAGATATATGATAGAAAGTCTGTTTTATTCCTTTTTCTGCCAATGAGTCATGAAAAACAAGGATGACAGATTTGTAATGGGTCCTGTCTAGGCAAAGACTAATGGTATCCAAGGACAGAAGTGTTGACGGGTTTGTAAAATGAGCTGATGTATTTTCAGAATTTCACAACATTCCTGTATGTGTTGGCAGTTGGTTATACAAAACCTAGCAGGCAGTTTGCCACAGTACTACTGCCCTAAATCTGTCATTCCTTCTGCTGCTGACTGGGAAATCTGGTTGTTTCGGAACTTTGCTGAAACTGTACACAGTGGTATTGATTTCAAATCTAATTTTCAAGAATGCTAATGACGGTAGCTTTAGGATGTCACAGTTGTAGCTCTGGAAATATTCATAAACATCTCAGATCCAGTATGTTCTATTTTATGAATTCAAAAATATTTAGAGTTATGAAAAAGCATAGTCAGACGT